CAGCTCACTTCATAGCAGAAGTCCTCTAGATTACTCTCCACTCTACCCATCACCCAACAACAGCGACGTGGTAACTAAAACTACGGACCGATCCGATGTTGGTCGTCATCAGACCAACGACCAATCCGGTGTTGGTCGAGTGGTACCTACCACTTTTATGATAAAGTGCAGGCAAAAGAATGAAATGATACTGGCAAAGAATGAAAAGAAAAGAAATAAAGTTGGCAAAGAATGAAAAAGTTATGAAAAAGCACAGGCAAAAGAATGAAATGCATTTCATTGCCAAGGAGAAATGAAAAATGTGGTGGGTAGGAATGAAATAGCTGCAAAGCAAGAATGAAATAGCCTAGGCATTTCATTTCATATTTCACTTGGGGGGATTGAAAAGACTGTGCAGGCAAATGCCCAGGTTTTATCATAAAAGTGGTAGGCACTAGTGGTTGGTCGTCATCGGACCAACACAAGACGACGACGGACGACCAATAAGATGATGGACAACGCAACGACGGTCGACGACGACGACTCGCCGACGACACGGGACGACGTCACCGGACAACGACAACACGGAAACTGGACGACAACGACGGCGCAACGATGCCTAGGCTTTCATGACGACGACGCCCATGATGCCAGGACTCCCACAACGAGGGACAATGAGACAATCCACCATCACCACCCTCCACCAACGACGCTGACCGCCCACCACCACCACCACAATCCGTGAACAACACTGGTCCACGAGTGCCACCACCCATGGATGGCGACGAGTGCCCACTATCACCACCACTCTCACTCGAATGACAATGGACGACGACTGTTTATCACCAGGGTGAGTTAAACACAACCTCTCTCTCCCCTTCTCATACTCACACACAACCCAGGTACCACGTCGCCGACAGCGACGTGGCAACTGAACGTCGTCGTTCGTCGCACATCGGACCAACACAAGACGACGACGGATGACCAACACGACAACGTACATCACAACGAGAGGACGACGACAACACGGGACGACGTCACCGGACAACGATGATGCAGCAACGACACAGAAAGGACGACGATGGCATAATGATGCTCAGGACAACACGACAACGCAGGACCGCACCAGATGACAAAACGGACGACGACGATGTGAATACGACCCAGGACGGCCACGACGCAGAATGACGCGGTTTTTGAGGTCCTCAATCACTTATTTACCTATCTTTTCAGTATGTATATTAGCACATCTCTCAATAAATCTTTTTCATGGCTTTCATTTCCCTGTATGCCGTGTGGTTGAGTAGCTAGCCTCTTTTACAAGTATATTTCGATGTTGTTTACACCTGTGTACCAACAGTGTTGAACACATCGAGTTGTTTACATTTGTTGTGCAAGAGCATCAATCCCTGAAGGTCATCCGAAGTCGGTTGACCCAATCCATCTATTTCTGACATACGGACGCATGAGGAACCAGTTCTATTAAATGTAAATATATCACAGGATATATTTAGAATGATTTGCGAAGCTTTTTTGTGGGAGAAACACATACAGAAGCAGAAATATTGTTGTTGAGCCTAAAACAGAGGTTTGTTTGCAGATATTGACATATTGGCCAAAAAACAAATACAGGACATCAATGGATAATTAGGAATACCCTGAAATATACTGTGGAGGCTCCCTGGACAAGTCCACATCCCAAAGAGCCTGGATATTTCCATCCCCTACGCAATAGGTATGGGTGGATTAGTCCAATATATAAGGCATAGTCTTACAGCCATGGGTGAGAAGAACAGAAGCAGTGGGCCGATGATGCCATCGAGGCCCACAACACGGCGAAGAAGGCCTGGGAAGGCGATAAAGAGATGAGCCCTGCTGAGGCACAAGAGTATGTCAAAACAAATCTCCGCTCTTACGATTGCTGACGTGTTTCATCAGAGCGTTCGATGGTCTCGCAAATCTTTTGGGACCGTTGCTGGAAAGGATTGGACAAGCACTCAACATGCACGTTTTGGTGTTTGTGGGCGGCCCAGAGCCAAGGTTGGGGGGGAACATCAATGTGATAAGGTAAACGTTCAATAGTGTTGCTTCTTTGTGAGTAATACTTACTTCTCCACAGTGTTCATCACGGCGTCAACAAGGCACCCTCACCGCAGGTTTGGCCTTACGCCAATAAAGCCAAGTTTGCATTGGTAAAGGATGCGTATATCGAGTTTCTGAGCACATGCTACTGTAGGTTGTTCTTAAGATGGCTGTCATACATAATATTTACCTACGTCGGCAGCACCTGAAGAACGAAGACAGCACACTCTCCCTGATGCCCCCAATTCAGATAACCAACCAACCAACAATGATGTCGATATGACCACCCTCGACTCCCCGCATATCAGTCCCGAGGAGAACGAACCCACTCTCGACACATCGACTGTCTCAACTCACTCGGCAACAGATCCCCTTGATGCCACAAAAGCAACGGCAAAACGGAAGCGAGGAAAGGAACATCGCAAGGGGCCAGTGGCCAAGAAGAGGGTAACATCCAAGAAGGGGGCAGCAGCCAAAAAGGGAGCGGCAGCCAAGAAGGGAGCGGCAGCCAAGAAGGGAGCAGTATCCAAGGGGAAGAAGAAGCGACGCGATGAGTCTGACAAAGAAGAATCGGACTCAGAGAGCGTGGAGGACTCTGAAGAGGCGAGCTCGTCTGAATCATCCAGCGATGGTGAAGACGAGGACAGTGCAGATGAATGCCCCATTCAGGCTCTGGGTGCGAGACATAGCACCAGGAAGACGACGATGGATCCCGCACGCCCAGACACAGAAGACCTTCCAATTGATCCCGCGGTCATCGGTCCTTCGAATTCTCTCGTTCTGCGTCAGCCATCTCCCTCCCTCACGTCCCAACCACTCGTTCCCTCTGCCCCTACTCAGCCCTCTGCTCCTCTCGTTCAGTACTTTACCATCCCCCACATAATCCACATGGACTCCACTGGATTCCACTGGATTCCACTGGATTCCACTGGACTTCACTACATACTGGCAATATCCACAAAACTGGACTCCACTGGACTCCCAGCACAAAACTGGACTCCACTGGACTCCACTGGACTGCAAGCACAAAACTGGACTGGACTGGACTGTACTGGACTGCAAATCACAAAACTGGACTGGACTGGACTCCACTGGACTCTCCCAACACAAAACTGGACTGGACTGGACTGCCACAGACCTAAGTTAATCCAGAATTCCTCTTCAAAACAAAAAATAAAATTGAAATATATTCATTAATTAAATTAATTAAATTTACATAGATTCTATGTTA